TTGAATTCTTTTAATGCAGCTTAATCACCATTATCAAAAAGAAGTGAAAGCATATGGATAATTTGAATATGTGAGGTTGTACGTAAATTGAAAAACTCTTATTATATTTTTTATATATATATGGATGGATGGAAATTACATGTGAGATGTTGCACATGTAACTCAAGTGTGAAAACTGAAAAGTAGCTTACGGTCGCACATTAGTTTATGTATTAATCAACATGCAGATCATGGCCCAACATGTTCCTTATATTAATTTTAACCTTAATCTAACTTTGACGGTTCAAATATATTTATTGTTAATCACACGCAAGAATTAATAGAAAAGATTCGTACGAATTACAAGAAGTACGTACATGCGTACGGTGTTAACATGGCAACTAGGTGAAAACAATTTGATGTCGGTTGTCACGCACATTTTAATTAATGCATACATAATTATCATTAACTGATAAGTGCTAATGCTAAAGTAGAATACCGTAGACTTTTCAAGCTGTTGGTTAGCATGCTAACTCTCAAAGGGGTAGGTTTTTTGACACCCTCTTCTTAATTGGTCAATTTTTTCATTAATCTTTGGCAAGTATTAATGAAAGTAAACATAATAAATGTTATGTTATTAAATACAAAGTAAGAATTAAATACACCACATTAATTACTTACTTTTTTTTAAATCTAAACCTATACAAAATACAATTCTCTCTCCTATCTCTGATTTTTCCTTTTCCAGCAGCCTCCGACCACCACACTTCGCCGGTGAAATCTCGTCGGCAGAATCTCTCCGGCCACCTTATATGTAGTACCACTGCACTGGTATTTGTACCACTGCACTGATACTTAGATCTCACATTTGTACCAGTGCACTGATATCGCTACCAGTGGAGTGGTATCGCTACCAGTGCATTGGTAGTGCTACCAGTGCACTGGTACACATACCATATTTTGAGTTTAAGTGCAGTGGTACAAATATCAGTGTAGTGATACAAAAATCATATCTGGAAACCGAAAATTCAGATCTGAAAATTGAAAACTCACCGGGAGAGGGGCTTGGGAAGGACTCGGTCGGAGGTTGCTGGAAAAGGAAGGATCCAAGATAGGAGAGAGAAGGATTAGAGATTTGAGAGAGAATTGCATTTTGTATAGGTTTAAATAATGTGGTGTATTTAATTCTTAATCTGTATTTAATAAGAGTATTAAATTCTACAAGTTGCATTTGTTATATCTACTTTCATTAATACTTGTCAAATGATTAATAAAAAAAATTGACCAATAAGGAAGGGGTGTCAAAAAACCAACCCCTTAGGGGGTTTGCATGCTAACCGAAAGTGACTGTTATTTTGTGTATTTCTCCAAAAGTGACTGATATTGTCACAAACTCCAAAATTTTGGCTATACAATGTATTTTGCCAAAAAACTAGATTAGGGCCCGGCCTCTTGGCCGGGAGAGTTTGATTTTCATATGTATGTGTAGTAAATATTGAGGATTGAAGTAACTATTTAATTTGGTAAGTTCTCCATGAATAATATAGGAAAATATTTAATGTATTTGACTAATGAAGTTTAAAAAATGACAAACAACGCTCAACTACACTAACATAAATTCATATTTCAAACAAAGTCATATCTATATAAAAATGTCTAAGAAGAACAATGATTAGAGTTGTTTTACATCACACATACATAATCAATCTTCAGTATACGATTAATTTTTTTGCCTTTTCCATTGACTTTCGTGTATTCAATGATATAATGAAACAAACTATATGTTCAGAGTGTACTTAAAAAGAAACAAACTAACTCACACAGTCATGGTTCCATTGACTTTAGTGTATTCAATGATATAATGAAACAAAGCATGCAGATCTCCAGCTGCAAGTTCAACTAATAGAGCAACACATAAAAAGCTAAATCAAAGCGAAAAGAAGGCAAAAACTAAAAGCAGCATACCTAACATTTTGGGGGGAAATCCACAACAATAAAAGTCATTGTATGAACACTTGATAATGATTTGAACACTTGTGATATATGAGTAGTGAAAGTTAATAAAAGTCATTGTAGCTCTTACTCAAGTTAGAAAGACTTTGATTTAATGATAAGTAAACAATGATATGTAGTGCTTAAGAGGGAAGATGAGACCTTACATTGTTTATTAATATGCATCTTAGTTTCATAAATTTATATCATTAAAAATTTATGTGCTGAATAGAAACCCATCCAAGTTTGGAGCAATTGTAAAATGTAAGTTATGAGGCAAATGAAAAGTCTCAAGCAAGGTTGTCAACCCGCGGGTTGACCCGGACCCGGTGAAGCTAGTGGGTCAAGTGTTAATGGGTCACCCGGTTTAGCCCGAAAATATGGAAAGAGTCATTATATTACACTTATCCTGATAAATTATATCAAATCTCATCTAACATATGAGTTATAACATATAATATTACACTAAAATAACATGTCGTACTTAGATCCAACATATAGTGAAAATTCACACACAATTACATAACAACAATATTCAAATGTTCAACTTAGGATTCCAAAGATTGAGTTAGTGGAAAAGAAAATCGGAAAATAGGCGCATTTCGCAAACCAAATAAAAAAATGACACAATTTGACCTCTAACCCGGTACCTTGTAGCGGTCGACTCGGCGGGCGCGTGCAGCCCGTTTTTCTCACCGGGTCAGGGTCAAAGTGGGTCGACCCCCGCGGGTTGACAACCTACTCTCAAGCATCCACATGCTTGCAAAATAAATCTATATTATCAAACATAAAATCATATCTTGCATCGGTAAAAAGAACAAAAAAAGTAGTAATTCGATAATCAATATAGGAATCAATATGGACACAATATCTAAGCAAGAGAAGATGAAGCGAAAAAACACAAATTTTTGTGTATAAATTCCGCTCACGATATTTCAAAGTGAAAAATATCATAAAAATTATTAACCAATAAAAGGGAACGATTAAGGGGAAAATGCATCAATTTGAACCTAAAATGAGAGAAATTAATATCCTACACCATCATATATATAATGATATATTATATCCCAGAAAATCATAAAAAAATCTATCAAAATGAAAAAGTATACTAAATTGAATTCAATGTAAAAGTAACGATGAAGATAGATATTATATCCACCTAAGGAATAATAAAATAAGCCATGTTTCTTAGAGACCTCTCTCGATAGAACCACTCTATTATAAAAACCCATTTCGTCAAACAATTGCATCATATAGAGTTTTAACTTAAATTTGAAGTGCTTATAATTAGCTATTTGAGCTCATGAATGAACTAATTATATCATTTGGTAAAATAAAAATTATAAACTTGAGAGTTATTTCATTTTTTGTTAAATCATTTGAACTAAAGTATGAAATTGCTTCAGAACCGTTATTTTATTCATTATTATTAAAATTTCTATTTTTATTATAATGTCTAAGCATGTCTAGGCGAGCTAGGAGATAGACAAATGCCGAATGACCGTCGTATGCCTAACGTGCTGCTGAACCTCAATAATTATAGCAAACTTTGAGTGCATCTTATAAATTTGATCACTTCTATTTTGGTATAATTGATTACATCAATAAAACGATCAATCAAAGAGTCTTTCTTTAACATTTTGATAAGATGTCCCCTACTGCACAATTAGTATGACTAAATTGTACTAAGATAATCATGTATTGAATTTTGAATCGATAGCGCAAAAGATTGTACTAACTCAAGTAGAGTTTTAGCTACTCAGTACTTCATATTCGCATGTAGATAGCTATTACGAAGAGTTCGAATATTGATTGAGTTTGTTGAACTTTACCTAACGAAACTATGATATCAAGCGCAATATATTATGCTTTTAGGAGAAATTGGAAGAATATGTTGGTGACATCAAACCTAACATGGATACCATTGAATTTAAGTGATAAGCAACATTTATGTTTAATAGATTAGACATGAAAAATATATTTAGCATTCTCATAAGTTGGTATGAAGAATTGAATAATTAGGAATTGAAAGCTAGAAACAAAGTTGATTTAATAAATAACTGCAAATGATATTGTGAAAAAGAAAACAAATGCTTAGAGCATAGCTAGGCATGAGAGTGTTACATTAAACTCTCTAAGAGAAAGCAAGTAACCATTAATAGTTAGCTGTGGATATTGAAATAGTTAACTATGATGAATACTATATACTGGTGTTAATACTTGTACCTTAGCTTGAACATTGCATCATGCTGATAAAAATTATTTCATTAATTACATTATTGAAATAAGGGGTCGTATGGAAGTTTTGATTATTTTTTTTTAGATTGTTAAAATAAATACATTTTTCATAATGCAATACATATGTTTTTATTTTTGTTCATACACAATCGTGAATTATTTGCTTGATTTGACTAAACTATCATTCAAATTGAATGATTAAACAATTTCGAATTTTAGCATAGACTGTCGAGATAATTGGTATCAGTGTTTGTCATTTTTATTTATCTTGAAATGTATGGTACCAGTGTCCTTATATTGTCATTGAACACTTCATTCAACACTTCAATTCAATGCACAATATTCCAACCAATGATATTTGTGTTGAGATTTTAAGATTATCCTTCATTTATAAGTTAGAAAAAATTATAAATTAATTATTAAAATATGAAAATAGAATTATAAAACTCCACAAAATATTTACAGGAGACTTAGCGGGCTAGCTAACCGTGATAGAAAAGTACTTTGTTTTTCATAATTTTAACTTCCTCTATGTTTTGTATTAATAAATTACAACAAATGTGTTTAGTCTAATACGTTACAATTCTTGTCTTTGGTAGAATGGACCATGGTTCAAATCCTAACATTTTGTTGGTTCCATTGTCCAACGTAAGAAATTCATTATTTTAACCCTTTTTCTTTTATCATTTTATGAAACTCTGCTCCAGTTGGCCCCATGAAGTTCCTTTCATTCAATGCCCATCCCAGACCCCAGGCACTCTCATTTCATTTATGGACATTAACAAGTAACAATCCCTTATTAATCCACTATGTCTTCCTGTATAAAGTACATAACCAAACCCTCCACTCCATTCTCTTTTGTACCCTCCCTCCCCACAAATCCAACTTCCACTTACTCTTCGAATCTTCCTTCCTTCATCATTCCCTCTCTTCTCCTTCCTCCCTTCCAAACCGACAGCTCCGATCGAGCAGGAAAAAATGTTGCAGAAAGTCATGGAAACTTGCTGTGTGCAGCCCAGAGATGTTGCCATCCTCGAGAATGGCAGCACCAGCAGCAGCAATGGCAGCACCAGCAGTAGCAATAAGATCATGGGGACGGTTGTGTTGATGAAGAAGAACGTTCTGGACCTGCACGACGTCAAAGCTTCGTTCCTCGATCGAATTCATGAGCTTCTCGGCAAAGGCATCTCCATCCACCTTATCAGCTCTGTTCATCCGGATCCAGGTCACCCCTTTTCTCCTTTCCTCTCCCCCTGCATTGAATAGAATGCACCCATCAATGGTTTGAAGTTTCTTGAATGAAAACAAAAAAGGAAAAGACTTTGGTATCTTCTTCTGGTATTCCCCAGTCCCAATCCAACAGACTTTCTACGAGCCATTTCAAAGCTCGCTCCTGTTTCTTGTTTGCTTATCAACGTAGACAAAGCTAACTACGGTGGTGTTTGCTGGCAATTTCCTCCAGAGAATGGATGGAGGGGCATGATTGGGAAAGAAGCCTCCTTGGAGAATGGGTTCACAGGACGACACCTTTAACAGCTACTGAGACTAGTTTTTCCATTACCTTCAACTGGGATCACTCCACCATGGGCGTACCTGGAGCTTTCATCATCAGAAACCATCACCACAGTCAATTCTACCTCAAGACCTTAACTTTAGACGATTTCCCGGGCCATGGCCGAATTCATTTCATCTGCAATTCATGGGTCTATCCTGCTCACAGATACAAATACGACCGCGTTTTCTTCTCGAACAAGGTAATACAATCGATCTCTTTGAAAGTTCCTAGGAACTCTCTGGCAGCAACTTTTTCCAATGTTATTGTGCCATTAAGTGCACAATGATTCGACTTCATAGCCAGTTTTGCTTTTGCCATTAAAGGACTCAACTTTAGTGTTTGTGCATGACAATATTGTCTCCCAATATGACGATTAGAATAGTAGGAGTTTTAAGATTAACCTAAACTTGCAGAATAAACAAACTCTAGTTAATGGGTTAGTAAAATATTCTCCATCTCCTAACAACCATTTTTGTCAAATTCTGTCTGGGTTCAGACATACCTACCATGTCAAACGCCAGAACCATTGCGCCAATTGAGAGAACAAGAACTTATTAACCTGAGAGGAAATGGGAAAGGACAGCTGAAAGAATGGGACAGAGTTTATGACTATGCTTACTACAATGATCTGGGTAGTCCAGATAAGGGTGAAGCCTATGCGCGCCCTGTTCTTGGTGGATCCAAGGAGTATCCCTATCCCAGAAGAGGAAGAACAGGACGAAAGCCAACCAAAAAAGGTTAGAAAATGGTGTCAAATCATCTAAACTTTTCTAATTTCTACTAGACACCTTAACCTGGTTTTGCATGTGTTCATGACAGATCCCAAGTCAGAGAGCAGATTGCCACTTCTAAGCCTGGACATCTACGTACCTAGGGATGAACGGTTTGGACACGTGAAGTTCTCAGATTTCTTAGCATATGCTCTGAAATCTATTGCTCAAGTACTTCTCCCGGAGATTTCGTCTATATGCGACAAGACGATCAACGAGTTCGATTGTTTTGAGGATGTTTTTGACCTCTATAATGGCGGCATAAAGCTGCCAGGTAAGGCCACGGTGAGCAAAGTAAGAAATCGCATACCTTGGGAATTACTGAAGGAACTTGTTCGCAATGATGGTGAGAGGTTTCTAAAGTTCCCCATTCCTGAAGTAATCAAAGGTATGAAGTCTCAACTCTTTTTCAAGTTATGTTTTAGCCAAACACACCATAAGTAAAGCTACTTACCATGGGGGCATGATGAATTGCAGAGGACAAGTCTGCATGGAGGACTGATGAAGAATTTGCTCGAGAGATGCTTGCTGGAGTCAACCCAGTCATCATCAGCCGCCTACAAGTAAGAACCAATATAATTAGCTAAACCAAATATATAAACTCATTTATATGTTAAGCACTTAATCTCATTGGACTCACAACAGAGATAACATACGAATTTTCTGCAGGAGTTCCCACCAGCTAGCCAGCTAGACCCTAAACAATACGGAAACCAGCATAGCACAATCAAAAAGGAAGACATCGAAGTCAACATGAATGGACTCACCGTCGACCAAGTAAAGTACACCAAACCAAATCATGATACGTCAAATCAGAGATTATCATTTATTCATTTTCCCCTAATTGCATGGTTTCAAAATTTCCCTGCTGCTTGCAGGCAATAGAAAGCAACAGGCTGTTCATATTGGACCATCATGATGCACTGATGATATACTTGAGGAAGATAAACTCGACCAACACAAAGACTTACGCCACCAGAACGATTCTGTTCCTTCAAGACGATGGAACATTGAAGCCATTAGCAATCGAACTGAGCCTCCTACATCCACAGGGGGACTATCGTGGTGCAGTCAGCAGAGTATTCACTCCAGCAGAAGATGGAACAGTCGAGGGCTCAATTTGGCAGCTAGCCAAAGCTTATGCCGCAGTGAATGATTCTGGATATCATCAGCTGATCAGTCACTGGCTGAACACTCATGCTGTGATAGAGCCCTTCATAATTGCGACGAATAGGCAGTTGAGCGTTCTCCACCCTATCCACAAGCTTCTGCAGCCACATTTCCGTGACACGATGAATATAAATGCTTTGGCAAGACAAATTCTGATCAATGCTGGTGGCATGCTGGAGATCACAGTGTTCCCAGCTAGATACTCCATGGAAATGTCTGCTGTTTTGTACAAGAATTGGGTCTTCACTGAACAGGCACTCCCTGCCGATCTTATAAAGAGGTAAAAGGGCTGGGAAAATAGACCAGACCGTTAGAAAAACCGTGGTCCAAACCGTACCGCACAGTTTGGTCCGGACCGTAGACCGTGAAGTATGGTCTGGTCTGGTCCATGGTCTGTATTATTTTATGATTTGATCTCTTGGTCTGGTCTGGTCTAGACCGCGGTTTACCGGACCAGACCGTAGACCCAACTGACTTGTCAATACGTGTTAACAGCCCATTCGACCACTCTCCAAACACCCACAACGACACCCAAGTCTCAACCTTAATTTTGTGAATCTCTTCCCTCCTTCATTCACAACCACATTTAACCACAGAGTAGAGATAATCGTGTCTCCATATGGCATTATGTTAATGTTTATGACATTATGGTGCAAGCTGGGATGCTTTTACTTTGTATCTTTGTTATGTACTAAGAGGTCGTTTGGAAGTTGCGAATGTTAAATCGTTGTATTGTAATGAATCACTACAATATAAATACATGCATTGATACAATAGATGCATTTTGACAATACATTGTTTGGTTGTTGAGATTCTTATTTATGTATTGATTTGCATAAAGTTACTTTATAGGGAAATGTCACATTTACCCTCACCTTCTAGTATAAAACAAAAAATATTGGGGATATAAATGGAAAGAAAAAGTGGACACAAATCTAAAAGGAACAATCACAACAATCTCAACTTTTAGTTGAGATTGTATAATGCATTATTTTTTGTGATTGTTGGTGGGACCTACACAAAACAATACATGCATTGTTTTACAACTTGACACTTCCAAACATTGTATTGTGCATAATACATGTATTTAACAAACACAACTCTAACAATCACAACTTCCAAACGACTCCTAAGATTTAGAGTATCAAAATTATTCATGCATGTTAGGATTAATGTTTTAAGGCAAATAACAATTATTTTTCTTGGTTATTGGTTCAATTTTTTGTGTGGTTGACTAAACAAATTATTCATTTTTCGTTGAGTGTGGTCTATCTGGACCAGACCAGACCGAACCAGACCGCACAGGCGTGGTCTGGACCAGACCGTATAGTCTGTGGTCTGGTCTGTGGTCTATACTTTAGCCTCTCGGTCTGGACCGTAGACCGTATATATGGTCTGCTCTGGACCAGACCGCACCGTTTCCCAGCCCTAGAGGTAATAGCACACTCCCATCAAATTTGAGTTCTTGCATTCATTCTCATATCTTACAACTTGTCTCCAATTTCAGAGGAATAGCAGTTCCAGACAAAACCAAGCCACATGGCCTCAAGCTTCTGATAGAGGACTACCCATATGCAGTCGATGGGCTGGAGATATGGTCGGCAATCGAGACATGGGTACAGGAATACTGCGACTTCTACTACCCAACAGACGAATTGGTCCAAAGCGACGAGGAACTCCAATCGTGGTGGTTAGAGCTACGCAACGAAGGCCATGGAGACAAGAGAGACGAGCCATGGTGGCCCGAAATGCAGACAAGAGTCGACCTCAAACAAACATGCACAATCATCATATGGGTAGCTTCAGCGCTCCACGCAGCAGTGAATTTCGGGCAGTACCCTTATGCAGGCTTCCTTCCCAACCGTCCCACAATTAGCCGGCGGTTCATGCCGGAGCCGGGGACGCCGGAGTACCGCGAGCTGGAGCAAGACCCGGAGTTGGGTTATTTGAAGACGATTACAGCACAGTTACAGACTTTGCTGGGGGTATCGCTAATCGAGATTCTATCGAGGCATTCGACGGACGAGATTTACCTTGGGCAGAGGGAGAGCGACGAGTGGACCTGCGATGAAGAACCGCTGGCAGCGTTCAGGCGATTTGGGAAGAGGTTAATGGGGATCGAGGGGCGGATTACGGAAATGAATAGTAATCCGAAATTGAAGAACAGAGTTGGGCCGGTGAAGGTTCCTTATACGTTGTTGTTCCCGAATACATCGGATTACTCGAGGGAAGGTGGGCTTACTGGGAAAGGGGTTCCAAATAGTATCTCCATCTGAAGAAACAGAGGCCAAAGAGATGAAAAGATTGCTCCTTTTTTTACTGGGTCTGACGAAATAATAACATAACCCAATTCTTTTTCGTATGTATTATTCTTACCGATGTACAGAAGGTCGATTGAGGTAGCTGAATTCCGGTTGTGATTTGTAAGCAAGCGTGTTCATACATGTGAATTTTTAGTCCTAGGGTTATCGGTATAGGCGTCAAAACATAGCCCGACCCGATTAACCCGCCCGATCAACCCGACCCGCAATCCAAATTGACTAAAAGTCAACAATCCGTAACCCGCCCGACCTGCAACCCAACTGACCCGCAATCCGATTGACCCACAACCCGACTGACCCACAATCCGATTGACCCGAACCTGACTAATCCGTAACCCGACCGACTCAACCCGAAATTCATCTAATCCACTTGAATAATTATAAAAATATACAATACATAGTTTTTCAAGAAAATTTTTTTCATTCTAACCTTAAGTAAAATTATTTTTTCATTTCGTATAGAAAATTTAAAAAATATTAAACTCACTTGATATTACGTATTTTAAGAAAATTACAAAAATTGAAACATGAAGGTCACTTGAGATCATGACAATATTAATATAATATATAAATTAAAATTTTGATTAATTTAACTATTTAATAAAATTATCAATTAAATATAAATAAAGTAAAGTATTTGGTAATTTGATGTTTTTAAATGAAGAGGGAAATTTTTTTGTATTTAAGTTTTTGGGAAGAGAAAGAAGAGGGAAATTTGGTTCTTTGAATTTTTTAGAAAAGAAACAAGTGGGAATTTTGGTGGTTTTGATATGTGGGAAGAGAAAGAAGTGGGAAAGTTTGATTCTTTTGATTATGAAAGAGAAATAAGGAGGAAAACTTTTGAATTTTCAACTTTTTGTAGAAGGAAAGAAGAGGGTAATTTGGTTCTTTCAATTTTATGGAAGAGAAAGAGGAGGGAAAATTGAGTTTTCTAATGTATGAAAGTAGAAAGAAGGAGGGAAATTTTAGTATTTTTGTGAAAAGAAAGAAGAAAACAAATTTGGTGTTTTCAACTTTTTGGTTTTTCATAATTTTAGCTTTTGAAATATGAATCTTTAACTTTTATATGGAGGGCATGACTAGTTAAAATTATTCTTATATGCTTTGAAGGCTATATAAGAAGCTTTCTTTCTTCTCCACCATTTCCTGCTCACTGCCTTCTCTTTTATGGCTCCGAACAAGGTAAGTATAAAAATAGTATAAATGGCGTTACAGGTCAATTCTCGATCCGTTTCATCTCCAACATCAGTCAATGAGCCATGATTCAATAAAGTAATCGTTTCCCTTGGATTTTGTGGCAAACGTAAAAAAACCTAATTTCATTTCTAGTTACAAAATCCAAATAGTTTGACTTCGATATTGTTCATTTGATTTCGTTTTCCCACTTTCGAGGATTCCATTTGCATTTTCATTGGCCATGCATACTATCTAAGCAGGGAAGAGGGAAATCACACATTCGGTAATAACCTGTCATTAGTGAAAAGATTCTACCAATTTATCACGTCCTATAGAGGGTTGTTATTTTCCGCCCGTGAAATTACTATTTGTCGCCCATTATTTATGTGAAAAAGTCAATTTTACTCTTTTTTGAAAAAGTATATTTTAGTGAATTAAACTTCCGGTAACACATTTTTTTAGTGAAAATAATTTTTCCAACAAAGAAATATTCTTTTTTTGCCAATAGCTCATTTGCATTACCAAGAAGAAAGATAATAAGAGTTACAGAACCGACATCGCCCAAGCGCGGAAATCAAGCCCCGAAATAACAATAGGACACAATGACAGGACTTTCTTAGCCACCAAATGAGCTACCCAATTGCTTTGCCTACCTATAAAAGGAGATGTGAAATCAGACAAGATGAGGGTACCCATGCCCGCCCCGCCCCAAAATAGGTCAAACAGGTCGGGTAAAATGGGTCAGGTCAAAATTGCCATCCCTAGTAACGGGTGAGATGTGAATTAATTCCTTTTTCTTTTCATTTAATTTAATTTAATGAAAACCTATTTATCCTTAGCTACGAAAATAGAAATTAATTAAATTAAATATTCTCCTAAATAGAATCGACTCGACTACCGGTCGAACCTTACCCAGAAATCAGGATGTTACAGTTACTACAGGAGAAGAAGTACTATCAGTTGCAGGTAATGTTCTTGTAAAATTTTGTCTTTGATTACTCGTTTCATCTGCTTCTATGAACTGAATGGTTTGTAATACTTGGTCAGGTTGCTTGTTTTTTCGCTGGGCGTACTTGGTAGTTGGGTTAGAGAACTTGGAGTATGTCTGGCCAGGAAGACTGCGACTGTAAAAGTCGTGCCTCTACAGTTGGAACTTTGGTAATAAATTAGGAAAGCATGCTTGATTAGCATACACTCTATGATTATTAATATGGTTTACAAGTTTTGTAGGTTTGACTGTATGGTGAGTTCCGAGTGGTGAGTTGGCCATATTTCCTTGGAAGTGTGTCATACAGATTATTAAGGTTATAAGACTTTTTAGGTGAGGTTAAAAAGACATTTGTGTCTGGTTGTGATGAGAGTGTGGAAATACGAGTCTTTCCTTTCCTTTTCTTTTTGGTTTAGAATCAGTTGGTGATGTGTTTTTGAACTAATTATTCTTAACCACCTACAGTTTCGATGGCAAGAAGCAAGAAGAGACTTGTGCTTTCAACAACATGCTGGCTCGGTGGGAAGATTGACTTTCTCGGCATTTCTGTTAGAAACAAGGTTTCTAACATGTGTGGAGATTGAGAATTTTAGCTAGATCAATTAGGGATTGATCTAACTAGGGATTATGAGTTGGGAATTGAGAACAAGACGAGGAGAAGAAGGGGAAGCTGCTGCCGCAGCCTTGGAGAGAAGAGGGAGAGGAAGTTGGCGCAGGAGAGAGAGAGAGAGAGAGAGAGAGAGAGAGAGAGAGAGAGTGGGATTAGGTTTTAGGTTTTTTTATCTGTAATTGCTTAATTAAAAATAAGACCACTATTACAGATTAAATAGTCTGCATAAGTCCTATCTGCTACCCAAATAATAAAACGCATCAATCGACTCCCTGCTTATTCCCCCAAATACCCAAATAATACCCCAAACCTTAAAACCGACAATAATCCGAATTAATAAAAAAACGACAATTAATGTGTTTCCCACATCCCCGCTTCCTTCGAAAAACAACCTTGTCCCCAAGGTTGTTCCTCCAGCTCACTAGGCCTCCTCCTCGCCATTTCCGCCGTCCTCGACCTCATCTTCTGCTTCATCTTCCCAGCGCCCGACTAGCATCATCAAATCCGTCTTCGGGCACTGATGTCCGATGGTGAACCGGCCATCACAGTTGAAGCACTTGCCTTCCCGCCTCTTCTGCTCAATCTCAGCTGGCGACAGTCGCACGAACCCTTTCGGTACGGCCCGCGGTCCCATCCTGGCCACCAGAGTCGGACCTCCACTGCTCACGTTAGCTCCAGTTGAGCCTCCCCCTGGCGCCCCTCCTGTGCCGCTACCGCTCCCGCTGCTTCCTCCTCCTCCTCCACTTGACTTCGAGAAGCGGCTAATGGTGCTTCTCCAGCTAGCCAGTTCTTCCTCCTTATGACCTGCAAGACGGAAAGCAGTTTTTAAGGAATCGGGCTCGAACACTCTGACCGCCGCTGCTATCTCGGGCTTGAGACCCGCCATGCACAGCCCCACCAAGGTGTCCTCCGAGACTCCTTTACACTGGTTCCCCAACTTGAAGAACTCCGCACGGTATTCAGCCACCGTGCCGGTCTGCTTCAGCTTCGCCAACTGCTCCGGAGCCCACCCATCTGACTTCCCAAACTGATAGCGGAGCTCTTCCTGAAACATAGGCCAGGTGATCAAGGTGGCTGCAGCCGCGTAGGACCTCTCCATCCATTCCCACCACTGGAGCGCGTCTCCCTCCAAATAGAATGATGCCAGGTAGGCCTTCCTTTCCTCTGGAATCGGGTGGTTTTTAAACCACCTCTCAACTGCATACAACCAAAGGCCTGCATCCTCTTGCCCATTGAATTTTGGAAACTCAATGATAGGAGGCTTAGCTCGAAAAACTACTCCATCCATTCCCTCATAGTTCATATAATGGGACCCATACCTGTCATTTCCTGGCGTCCTCCACGGCTGCCCAAAGGAGGGACCTTGTATCCGGCTTGGGTTCCCATGCGCATAGTCACCCGGATAGCTGCCTTGTGGATTCGGGTACCCCTCCGGAGCGTGAGGTGCCCCGTACGGACCCTCCCAGGCGGCTGGTCCCCTGCTGTCCGTCCTTCTGATCGGCGGAGTAGTCGGGCTCGGTCGATGTCCGGTTCGACCAACCTCGGGTCGACCCATTCCGGTGCGACCTGGCCCGGTTCGGCTCAACTCGGTTCGATTAGCATCGGTCCGTCCAATCCTGGACCGACCGGTATCGGTCCGACCCGCCTCGGCCTAGTCCGCCTCGGTCCGCCCCCCATGAGCCGACCCCCCTTGCCCCAACTGGTCGGCGACCCTCCTCGACCCACCAGGCCCTCTCTGATCCATCTCCGATTCAGCCCACCTGGCCTGTCGATCCGCCAGGCCCAGCTAGTCATGCTTGGCCCCATCTTCCAGCTCCAACCACCCCCGCCCGTTATGGACCTTTGTGTAGTGACCCAACAGCCTGGGCCCATTATTCCTGGGAGGCCCGTCTGTGTCATAACCGGGCATCTTAGCCTTCCCTTTTCGGGCCGCAATCTCTTGGGCCGTAGGTGTTGGTAACAGACCCGGGCCCACCCCTAGCCCTACCTGCACTAGGCCTGCCCCTGGTCCGCCTCCTTCCGTTCCCGGCCCGGACTCGGCCGCAATTAGCGCCGCCGGCGCCTTCTCCGCCGCCACCCTCGCGCGGGCCGGCGATAGCCGCCCCCTGCGCCGCCGATTCCCCACCGTCGACCGCGCCGCCCCAGTCAGCCGCGGCTGCCGCCGTGGGCCCCGCGTCGCCG